TCGGTACGGATCTTGTGATCGGTCTAACCGATGTATTACATAGACTTGAATTACAACAGTATATAGTACCAAATATACTGTTATAGGTAATATTATAACCAGTTTTAGCATATGTTGTGTCACATCCGCCAGAAAACACGCCTCTTGTTATCTCTGTTATACCAGACACGGTGTACACTTGTTTCTGTGAAAGAAAAAGAGAAAAAAAAGTCATTATTGCACATTTTTGACTATAGCTTACGTAGCAAGTATCACTTGGATCCTCCTGACCACCTTCGCTGATTCCATTAGCATAGGTTGTAAACGGGTCACCGCACCCTGTATAACTACATGAATAACAATTGTAGAAATCAGATGACTGTGCCGAGCATCGACGACCTTGAAATGTAAATAAGTGTTCAACCGCAAGGGAAAATATATTAACTTACATACGCGCTAATAAACCAAAATATAAAAGAAACATATTTATCATACGCATCTTCGCCAGCAACTTCTAAAGTAGGATCAGCAGATTAAGTAGAAAACAATTTCTGAAGAACGAAACAATAGCAAACCAAAATGTGTCTCATGTAGAACAGAATTTTGGTTCTTTTGGAGCTAGTAAGTGAAAACATAAATAGTTAAGTAGAAAAAAATGTGAATTTTACTGCTTTATCCAAATTTTGTTTTGCCCAAAATAGCCTACAGTATATGTGAGTCGAATTTTATTATACTAAACAATAAAAAATGCTTACTTACTTTACTTCTACCGTTCACATTAAAATTTTTAACTTCGAACACATGTTGTTTTTTAAATTTTTAGAAATATCAGTTTTTTTCTTTCTTACGAACGATCTCTATGCGTTTTAAAATGTTAATGAAGAAAGACAAATATTATCGTTGTGTACATTATTATTGTGAAAAAGGTAGAAAAGTATAAAATTAAAAAAAATTTTTATGGAGAAAAAGCCAGAAAGAGTTTAGATGTCTTCTCACATTTTATATTACCAAAGAAAAAACAGGCCTTTTACTTTAAAATGATCCCATTGGAATTTTTAAATAACTTTAAATTAATGTGCACTAATTTCTGACTCAAAAAACGATCGAAAATTACTTCACATCAATTTAAGAGACCAAATTAATTTAAATTCGTTTGTAGGAAATTAGTTTACATCAATTTCGCAGTGAAAATGAACTGGAATAAATTTCTAGGTTAAAATCAGTTCCAATTAGTTTGAAAAGACATTAATTTAAATTAGTTTTAACTAAAATGGTTTGAATTAATTTATTTCGAATGAATTTGAATTAATTTCGTGCTTTAAATTGCTTCAAATTAATTTCTACTCTCAAATTCATTTAGAGTTATTTATTTTGAATGAGTTCGAGATTGTTTTAATCCGTCAAATTGAGGTAAACTAGCTTCAATGGCTCAAAATTCATTTAAATAAATGTTTTTGTAATAGATTTGTAATAATTTAATTTAATTAATATTGAGGCTCGAACTTAGTGTAGATGCGAATTCTTCTTCAGAGGTTGACAAAAAACTGTATTTCATGTGTCACTTCTCTTGACCAGACAAGAAATGCAAATATGTTCTCATCTCTAGAACCCTCGCTCGCCTGAGGTGAGTCGCCTCCCGACTTGCACATCCTTCTACTGGAAGTTTAGGCTGTTTAAAATGGATAAGGACCATTCCACGTAACGGTCACCTTTTATGTCCAAATTTTGATAAGAAGCTGTTTTCATTTGGCTTTTTCTCCTATCTCTTGCAATAGCTTTAGGTTTTGAGCAAATAGTTAGATAGAGAAATGTTTTGAGATCAACAATGTCATTTTAGTTCAACTCTCGCTCATTCTTGAAGGAAAAACTCGAACTGCGAAAACATAGTTATTTGTAAAATGCGTGATTCCGTAACAATGTTATTTTACCAATTTTAAGCGTTAATTTCGGACCTGTAAAAGTAATCTTTCTCAATCGATAACCCATGAACTTTTCTACAACATTTTCACATAAAGAATAGAATAGAGATTAGCTGAGTTTTCCACAACTTTAAATTGTTTCGGAGTGGCTATTCCACTTTTGGTGATTCCGGGACGGTCGATACTGTTCTTATAAAATTGGAGCCATATAGTCAAGCTTAGCAGAAATTTTAGAGACTGTCGAGCGCGTTATTAGACAGATTTGGTAAGAATTTAACCATTTCTTCGTTTAAACTGACTGAGAAATTACAGTCAGATGCGGAAAAAACGTGAGTCCATTACGATTATGTTGGTCGATAAGGGTTTTTTATGCTAATTTTCTTCTCTCAGTACGAAACGTTAACTACGTTAGATCCTCCCCACTCAGAAAACTACTTTCGTCCAGGAACATTCAACTTGGATGAAAATTTTAGACAATGTGTACCTTGAGGTACTTAGTCATTCTACTAATTGCACCCTCTTATCAGTTATTTCCACAGAGTTATTCTTAAATTAGTTGTGAAAAAGTATAGTTTCCTACTTTCAAGATTCCGCCGCCATTTTTTGAGCTAGAAATTTCGAACTGGTTCCAAAAAATAGAGAAATGTTTTTTTCTATGTCGTGACGTCGCTGGATTTTTCAATTCAAGTTTAGTTTAGGAGGAATTTAAAAAGTTTCTGACAAGTTAGAGAGATTTTATTTAGAAAAAGCAATGTTTTGAAACCAATCCAAAATTTCTAGCTTGAAAAATGACCGAGATATCTTGGAAGTATCAAACGCTATAGTCATAAAAAGAGATTTGGAGAAAAATGTGAAACAGGTTTACGAAATGAAAACGAAGAAGGAAAGAAATACAATAATACTTCACCATAGGGCGGCATTTTCAGTCGAAAAACCCAAAGTCTCCATAGTATATCTGATATAGATGCTAAGTTTCTCGAAGCAACTTTTTGCGAGGAATCCAATGGCACTCCCAGAAATTCTTGAAAATATTTCTGAACCGAAATAAGTACTTATTTTGGTTTCGAAAAACTTGAAATTAATTTGCATTAATTTTTTTTGTAATTATTTACATTAATTTGGGTACAAAAATTCGTTCAGATTAATGTAAGTGGCTTCGGGAAACTTAGCCTCTAGCTATATCAGATAGACTATGGGGACTTTGAGCTTTTTCTTTTTTGAAAAAAAAATATTGAAATCTTCACCAACTATTTGAACTAATTTAGTCTCAAATTAGTTTACATTAATTTTTAACCCAAAATTTACGGAAACTAATTTCCATGTAAATTGATTTAAACTGGTTTAGGTCTAAATTAGTTCCAACGAATTTTTAATGTAAAATTATTATAAATTAATACTTTTTCAAATTAACTTAAACCATTCTAAAATCACAAATTCGTTTAAATTAATGCGGTTGGAAATTAACAACGATAATATCTGCAAAAATTAATTCAGATTAATTTTAAATTGAAAATTGTTTTGAATTAATTTCTATCAGATTAGTGAAAATCGATTTATTACTAAAAATTGAGTTAAAGGAATTTGAAAAAACATTAATTCAAATTAATTTGAGTTTCAAATTAGTGTAGAGTTTTCGAATTAATGTACACTAATTCGAAGCTCGAAATTCGTGTACATTAATTTAACATGAGACTTTGTATAATGCGGTATACCGCATTATACAAAAAAAATTAATTTCTCCCGTTATAACGGGAGAAATTAATTTTTTCAGGAAAAAATGAACTAAAATTAATGTCAGTATTTTCAAATTAATGCGCATTAATTTCAAGTATGTTTTTTTATTTTTTTTCCATTTATTCAAAGATTTAAATTGATGCGCATTAATTTTGAACGCCGAAAAGTTTTTTAAATTAATGTGAACGAATTTCCTTTCAAATTTGTTCAAATTCCTTTGAATCTCGAAATTAGTTTGCATTAATTCGAAAGTATTTAAAAGTTCCAATGGGATGCCAAATAAAAACAGTTAAAAAGAACTGTATTGACGTGTTTGTACTACCTGCTTAAATAAAAAATTGTTCTGGTACAATCATTCCAAAAAACTACACGGGTAGTTAGGTAAGTGATCTGTCTGTTCACAAAGCAAAAAAACATCTAGATAAGTAATATTCATTTCACATCAGCTTGGTTTTTATGTTAACTTTTTACAGTATTTTCACCAGCGTGGTCCTGCCGATGTAAATAGAATGCGTCTGAAGGAACGCGTTCAAACGCGTTTCATTTCGAAAAGAGGCGTTCAGGCGCGTTTTTTTCGATATACGGTCTTCGGACGCGTCCAGGCGTGTTTGCATGCGACGCGTTTAAACGCGTCTGAAAATGTTTCGTGTGAAAGTCGGGTCTTTCTGAAACGAAATGCGTTTAAACGCAGTCACATTTGACGCGTTAGAGTAAGGCGCGTTTAAGCGCCTATTTCATAGGAAAAACATTAGACGCGTTAAGGTGCACTTTTTTTAAACGCGTCTCTTTTCTTACTCTCTAGAAAGATGCGTCCAGACGCGTCTTATTCAGTCGCAAAAAGTTTGTCGCGTCTCTTTTCATTCTGTTTGAAAGAGACATCCAGACGCGTTCTGTTGTGCTTCGAAAACTCTTATTCGTGCTGATATACAAGTGTTTCTTTTCTTTCTCGCTGTGTTCAGTTCACATCGTTCGAGTACAAGGGTTAGGATGTTTATCAGCAGCGACTCATTAAGGACGTTTCGCTATTTGAAGGAGTTCAATTGACGAAAGACTTCTATTTTCTCGAATTAAAAGCCTATCAGAATAGCAATCCCTCCCTAATTCTGCTTGCATCATTTCATTGACGAAACTGTTTGTTCTATATTTTATAACACTAATAATATAACAAAAATTCAAAAGAAAAAAACATGTTTACTTCTAGAAAAGTGCTATATCTTCAGTTTGAACGTTAGCTAGTTGTTATGATTGTTAAAATAAACAACAATTTCAGCAGATAGTAGAGTAAGAAGCAGAAAGAGAAAGAAAAAGAGGAAAAACGGGGTAAAAAGAGTTTCTTGCGACTTTTAATGTGCTGCTCAATTCAAATTTTTCACAGATAGAGAAGCTTTCTGATTAACTGTAGTAAAATAAATTGCTAAAAATAAATTTTCATCTAAAACACAATGAACTTGAAGTGCCGAAATAAACATCGGCAAGGTAATCTCAAACACCTTCCTTCATCTTTCTTTATCACCTTATACACGATGGCGCTAGCTGCTTGAACACATTTTACTCTGATGCCCTTTCTGAATGATCTCGCAGTCTCGAGTTGGTTTAGAAGTAAAGAAAGTAAAGAAGTTTTAAATTCCAAGTGGTACATCTAATGAAATATTTAGAATATGCTTAATACTGGCAAAAAAAGAGTCGCAGAAGTACCCGATTTAAAGAGAAGTTTCTGAAAGACACATTTTTTCTCGAAATTTCAGGCAGGAGTACTGTAAAGCAAAATATTTACTTACGTCCTTTTCCTGCTTTAGTCTTTCTCACTTCGAAACCTACAGACTGACAAAATATAGAGCAAGTACCA